GTAGATTGAAGGGTCGAGAGAGAGACTGACACTGCGTCACAGCGAGGTGGTTCTTGACTTCAAAGAGGTTCGCATTCGGCTAAATGCGATAATTCTCGATGATGGACATCTCTGCAGTAGCGTCGATGGCTCTGTGACGACTACTATGGAGGGTGGGGCGTTGCACACTACCGAAGGTGCGGTAGTTGTCTGCCCAGCGGAGTATGCTCCTCGGGTTGACGCCCATGGCAGCCGCCACATCTTCAACTTCGTGACCGGCATTGCAGAGCTGGTGAGCTCGCTGCTTGATCCCAGTGTCATGGTGCACATATACCATGGCCTGCTATGCATGCAAGAGAGGTCAGAGGGGTGTCTTCGATTTTTTTTTTGCTTTTCTCAATTTTCTCGAATTAAATGAATTTCTCGACGCGCGGGGGCGGCCTCGGACGAGCATTTCCGAATCAGCAGTGACTATTCGACACTGCTATAATAAAAGAGACAACTTTCTGAACACCCGTCTTTTCTTCAACAGACATCGAACCCGAACACCGAGTCGGCGTCGCGTACTCGAATCTGATGCGTACTAGGCCCCGCATTGCCAGCGGTACAGCAGTCCTCCGCGCGCGCATCGGAAGTCCCATAGGTCCCCGAACAATATTCGTGAAGTCACACACTAGCCTAGCGTCACCGCCGGTCCACAGACATCTGCATGTTCCAAGTTCCTCAGCACTGCCCGTTTTCACGCAGCACGCCTACTCGGTGTGAATGTGGGTCGCCATGTCGCCAATGACCAATCCTGCGGGACATACGATCTACTGGTGTATATAAGACTCGTCTGCTCGCTCTCACTACCCTATCCAAACGCCTCCCCGATACTACACTCATTATCACCACAATGTCCCTCCCAAGCCGCAAAATTGGACAGGCCACCGTCTGCGCCATCGGCTATGGCTGCATGGGCATCGCGGCATTCTACGGCAAGCCCCTCCCCGACCAGGAACGTCTGAAGGTGCTATGCATGTCCCCCTCTCTCAGAGTGTCTACTGACTACTTGCTCTGTAAGGTCCTCGACGCGGTGTACGCCTCTGGCTGCACGTTCTGGGACACCGCCGACGTCTACGCCGACTCTGAGGAGCTGCTGGGGAAATGGTAGCTATTGGCGAATGTGAGATGCAATTGTGCTGATACTTTCCACCAGGTTCCAGCGGACTGGGAAGCGCTCGGACATCTTCCTCGCGACCAAGTTCGGTCTGCGTTCTGGAGTCCCTGGAAAGGTGTCAAATGGAGATCCTGCATACGTGCGGCAGTCGTTCGAGCGATCTCTGAATCGGCTTGGCGTCGATCTAATCGATCTCTACTACCTCCACCGGTGCGCTCAGGACGTCGGATACTGAGTCATGCGCTGAACATTTGTCCAGTCCTGACCCTACTGTCCCCATTGAGAAGACAGTTGAGGCTATGGCTAAGCTCGTCAGGTGCGCTACTTATCGTGTCATCTCCTGCCATCGACACCCACATTCTCCAGCGAGGGCAAGGTGAAGTACCTCGGGCTCTCCGAGTGCTCCGAAGAGACGCTCCGGCGCGCGCACGCAGTGCACCCCATCTCCGCACTGCAAGTCGAGTATTCACCCTTCACGCTCGACATCGAGGACGAGAAGATCGGGCTGCTCAAGGCCGCACGCGAGCTCGGGACAACCATCATCGCGTACAGTCCCCTCGGGCGCGGGCTCCTCACTGGCAAATACGTATGTTGTCCTTCCCTCATCCCCAAAATCAAACACTGACAATGGCGCGTTGTGCAGAATGGGCCAGAGGACTTTGATGAGGACGACTTCCGGCGGCAGGTGCCGCGCTACTCCAAGGAGAACTTCCCGAACATCCTTAAACTCGCAGCGGGGCTTGCGCGGGTCGGCGCACCGCACGGCGCCTCCGCAGGACAGGTCGCACTCGCATGGCTGCTGGCGCAGGGCGAGGACGTCATTCCGATCCCAGGGACGACTAATGTCGCTGTGAGTCGCTATCCCTCTTGTGTTGACAAAGCGGTGTACTGACTTTGGGACAGAGGCTGCATGAGAATCTGAGCGCGGCGAAGATCGTGCTGAGCGACGAGGAGGTTGCGGAGGTGCGCAGGATTGCGGAGGGCGCGAACGCGACGCAGGGAATACGCTACCCGCCGCTTTTGAACAGTCTCTTGTTCGCGGATACGCCTGCGCTCGAGGGTTGGGTGCCCCAGGCATAGGGAACTGTGAGTCTGTTGAGTTACATGTAAGATCTGGGCCCTGGAGATGATCTAGGTTTCGTACCAAAGAAGCTTTGTTGGCCGCTGGCAATGGGTCGGCGTGCATGTCCAGACCACACCATCTCATAATTATATAAGCCATTATAGCGCTACAGTGACTTCAAGTTCGTGCTTCTCTCTCACACGCTGATTTATCGAATGTCACACGCACATGCGGCTCTGAACGTACAGAATCGATGAGCTTCAGCTTTCCAACTTGAATTGCTACCAGGTAACGCTCATTCCTCTTTCAACAGTTGGTGGAACTGAGAATAGCTCCCAGGTCATGTTCACTATGCCTCTGTCGACTTACACTTGCACAGACTGCGCAAAGACGTTCACCACTATTAAGGGTCTGCAGAGTCACTGCAGCGCAAAGAAACATGGCAATAATCAACCAAGGCCTGCTGTACAGATGAGCACCGTCTTCGTTGCTGCCTCTCGACCGGAAACTGGCATGTTCGGTACGTGGGGCATGTCCACTATGACGACGGGCGAAGGGGACAAGGGCGTGTCGCCACGGTCCCCGAATGCACCTGCGGTGTCGACACCTACGCCTCAAACACAATATCCATGGAGATGCGACAAGTGCGAGCTCTCTTTCAAGTCCAAGAAGGAGCTGGATGCCCACATGAAGAAGTCCCTCGTGCATCTGAGATGCGGAAGGTGTGTGCAGGGCTTTGCAGATGAGGCGACACTGCAGCTGGTGAGGACGCATTCTTTTGCATTGAGCTACGGTATGCTAACAGAAAGCCTAGCATATTCGTACCACCCACTGTCGATATGAGAAGTGCATTTGTGGGGAATTTGTGAGAATCACGATGATGCCTGCGCACCTCCAAACTTCGATCCACCATTCGAAGTGCTCGGTATGCGGCCAAGGATTCAAACACGAACCCGAGATGCTCAAGGTGAGTTCTCCATTGGGCTATCGCATCGCTCGCTTAGTGAATTGGGTACAGCATCAGAAAGCCTGTCACGTGGAAGGATACTGCTCGCATTGTGATCTTTGGTACCCTTCGCAGCAACAGCTCCACAAACACTTCTACGACTCCTACAGCCATTCACACTGTGTAGAGTGTCAGCTCGGCTTTGCAGTCAAGGATGACTTCGGTGAGGTGAGTACTGTGTGAGGTGAAGCTTCGCGCCGACAGATGACCTTACTACCACGTTTCTAGCATCTTGCCACCGTGCATCGTCCTGCGCGAGAAGTGGAAATGTCACCTCAAGAAGTGGGGCCCTCGAGCTCCATGGAAAGTGATGGTTCTCACGACCGCTCTTCTGCTATCGATACATACACGCAATCTGACTTGGGCGAGCACGAGGTTATGGCGGTCAGCTCAGTTCACGCCGTGGATAACATGGTACACACTGACATCGCTGCAGCTTGACGACGAAGGGTTCGATCTGGGTTCGACTACCTCACTGAGCTTCTCATCGGCGAGCTCAGATGACGACGCATACTTGACGGCGAGGACGTATTCTACAGAAAATATGCATCGATCCTTGACGACAGCCGCTTCAGTGGTGGCAGAGACCTCACAGCAGGAACTTCAACCTACGATAGCTATGCCCGTGGATGACAACTGTCGTGTTGAGTGAGTCCTCCTTAGATTTCGTCTTGGATGTGTATCTGATCAGGTAATGTACCATACTTTGCAGGGACCAGGAGCAACCTCCCGACCTCGAGGAATCTGAGAGATCAGAGAGACCAGAAAGCGCGCCGAGCAACCCCGATGATGTTCACTCAGATCTGGAATACGACCTCGTTGGCTCTCCCATCGCGATCACGCCCGACTTAACTCCCGCCGACCCCTCTACACCTGTCGTTGAACACGATTATGCAAGTGGTATGGGTGTGCCCTTTGATGCCCCTGTGACTGTTCCGCACTCCGATGTGTGCACGTTTGGCCAATCGAGCCGACCGTCTAGCCCTTCCACCCCCTGGAGTCGCGCGACGTCGACATCGCCGCCTGCCAATGTGTCTGACCTCCGCGATGGGCCTGAGACAGGCGAAACAGTTCGCGACCGAGATAACGAGCATACCACCGCCGCAGAAGAAGGTAGGCCGACAGATCCATGTATCGTCAGATGCTTAGGAGTCTGCCTCATAGCGTCGACGACAACGGAGTCCTCGGTAACTCCCGCCAGCAGCTCCAGGGCTGATTCCACCATGTCTACGATGAATCCTCTGCCCCAAGCTAGAGCGGCAGGTCCGTCGTGGCATTGTCGCAGCTGCGGGAAAGATCCGTGCGATGACCCTACGGCTACGCCATGTGGTCATATCTTCTGTCACAGGTACGTTTCTAGTCGTACTTCATCGCCGTTATCAACCTATTCAGAACACGTCTCGCTAGTTGTATTGTGAAGGAGATTGCACAGAGGTCGTCGTGTCCTGTTTGCGGCAAGTTGTTCCTTTTGCGATTGAACCCATGAAGCCAGTGCACGATTGTATAGTGTATATGCAGTGTATGAAGAGAGATGCTGGATTTTGAAATACTATCCACTGGTGATTCGAAGCTCAGTTCGATTATTGCAGGACCCAAGCACTGGCTTGAAGGTAGGTTTGACCGTGCGGCAGATATGCAATCTGGTAGTTGCGCGATCACGGCCCTTTCCATCACAACCTGTCCACCATTTGTTGTCTGCAGCATGTAGTCTTCTTCATTCAGCATTTTAAATGCAACAGTGGCAGGGATTATACATCTCTTTATTCTACAAGCGGGCGAAAAAAAGAAAAGTCTGGACACACCGAGAATTGAACTCGGCACCCCCCGCAAGCGACTACAGTGCTAAGCGGATGTGATAACCAACTACACCATGCGCCCGATGGACACAATGACTTGTGTCTGTCCATATGAACAAATGGAAGGATGGGTATCAAAGCAGTAGGCTCCAGCCGGTGGCATTACGGACGTACAAGCCTGACTCGGAGGTGTTATGCATGATTGCGTTTCAGATACAATGATTGATACATCTTAATAAGCTGAACGCACATGGCAAGTTTCCAAGGAGCCCCAAGCCAATATTAAGAAAACCAGAGGCTGAGCCAGAGCGGTACACGCGGAAGGATAAATCCCATATTTGGGAAATTGTGGTTCGAAATGGTCCAGGCGCCACTGGGCGGCTTGTCTAAACCTGAGCCTCATCTTGCAAGCAGATGATGAAATGTGAGGCCCCGCAAATGTATGTGCATGATCTCGAATTGGATCCGTACTCTTAATGACACTCACATATGTATGCCAGTTTTTATCTCGCTCGGAGGGGCAAATGTTAGCCGAGTCTCTTCTACTGCTGCGCTGGCAGCGACATATTCAACTTCGGCACTCGCAGCCAGTACACCCATGAAGCTGGAACCGGAAGAGAACGTCCTCAATCCTTCTCTGCACATTTCCGGCCTCCAGGACGCAGATATCCGTTGTCTCAAACTTGAACGTGATGTCGCACAGGTAAAACATGCTTCTCTCCAGTTGCGCAGTGGTTATGTCGCCGCTGACGGAGCAAGTCTGAGTTGAAGGGCTTGAAGTCAAATTTATCGAACGAGCGGAAAGAACTACTCAACGCCCTGCACGATTTGTCGAAACGTATCACAAATATATCAGATGTCCGTCCGAACCGATCCTTCCATTCACACCAAGTGATACATCTCACCTTGTTTTCTTTTATGAACAGAGCTCGACGAACGAACGGATTCAAGAAATACAGACCAGACTGGCTGCATTGAAGGTGAGCACCGAGCTCTGTCTTGCGATGTTGTCTTACCGATCTTGTGGCTGCTGTAGCGAACCCGACGTGACTCTGATGACAATTTCAGAAATGAACAGCAGCAATCCAACAGATCTGAAGCTGATCGATCCGACTCTGAAGCCGCGAGCGCATTGCGTTCCGTTCTTCGCAATGCCCACGACGTCGGTTGCACTCTCTATCTGGTGAATGTAACGTCCTGCCCGCAAGTGCCGTCCGCTACGCTGTCACTAGCCCCTTCGCTGGACGAAACACGAGCCGCCACCCCGTACGCACGTTCGTACTACTGCCCGGCACACAACGGCTGGACCTTCCTTCTGTGGGGCAACGCTACGACTCTCCCTCCCTTGACGCGTCCAATCGATGGCTTTCCTGAATCGGCACGGCGCAGCCACACATCCTCTTGCATCGGCGACGTTGGCCCGCTGGGTCGAATAAATGAGCACCACGACTGGCATCGGTATGAGCGAGCTGTTAACTCTGGAAACAATCCAGTATTATTCGGCAAGGCGGAGGACACACAGCTTGACTTGCATCTCTGCTCTCAATGCATGACGTACTGCACGGTATCGGACATCTGCCCGGGCGTCATACCTGAAGACCTGCATCGTGCCTTCACTCGGAACAAGTGGGACAACCCATCTCCAGGCTACACTCCAAAGGCAAGTGTGCTGGCGGCCTGGGAATCCGTAGCGGCGTGAGTGGCTCCTGTACTTTTCGCTATGTGTGCTTATTTTCAGCCAAGGACCATACAGAACAGGCTCTGGAAGAATGAACACCGCTCAATCCCAGTTAACCGGCCTCGCTTTGAGAGGAAGGTTGGGTGGGACGATGATGTGTAAGCTATATGGGGTCTTGCATCTTGTATACACTGAATATTTTTCAGCCAGAGGATCTTCGAGATTCTTGAGTTCGAGGTTGACTATACTGAGGCGTACTCCGCCCATAATCCCGAGGCTGGCGGCGGCTTGCAATTGCTGCCCAAAGACATCGACCGCACGACCTCAGAAGGCCGACGCATACGCGCGAAACTCCTGCACGCATGGCTGGAGATCTCGGCTTGGCGCAGTATCTACTTGAAGTTGGGTGAGTGAATCTAGATCTCCTTGTTGTTATAATGCACCGCTCAGAGGTATCCAGGCGGTAATCTTGGCTCATACACGACGTTGCACACATACGTTGATGTCACTATGGTCCGCGGCGTTTATCATGCGCTGACTGGGATAGACGATTAGGGTGTAATTCCTTTCTAACAGCTCGAGTACGCCTTGTCCCCCAACCGAAGTCTGTATGTAGCATTCAATTCCAGCTCCTTCTGGCCACGGAGAACACTGGCAGTCTACGCAGCTTGAGCTTGCGACTGAGAGTCGCATGCAACGGGTCTCCCCATGAAACGATATAAATGAGCCAAATTCAATAGACTACGTTAAGTTCGCGATCACATGACCTCAACACAACCCTGGTGCGCGCTGTTCTGAATCGCCCACATCGAAATTGCATGCCCCGCAACCTCGCCGCTCCCTATCCTGCCCAACTGTTAATCCATCGTCCTTCCGAAGGGCGGCCATGAGCACCGTCCAACAGCGCAAGGGGACACCTACATCAAAGTCGATTTCGTCGTCGCGGCGTTACCACGTATTCTTAGCACCACGATCACAATCACCGCAAACTTGCGTTGGGATATCGATGATTTCGTGTTCTCCACTTGATCTACTTAATGCTTCGTGTCCCTCACTTGACCCAATGTGCCTTCGCCAGGGTGTATCGATCAACCTGCTGGCGATGAGGTGCATTGCGCGGCTGCGCTTACTGGAAAAGAATTTGATGTGTATAACCCGTAAATTCTCAAGCCAGGGCGTGATGCGTCTGACACTGGCAGCGACCGGAATATAAGGGATACAAGGTATGTCATGAAGCACAAACAACTGTAATATACTGACTAGAATCAGGCCCATCACTGCGTCTTCCTGCGTTCCCCAAGGCCCCTTTTCTAGTAAGTATATATCCGTCCACGGCCTGCAATTCTGCACATGGAGTGAAGGAATGTTACCATATCACCCACCTAGTATGCATTGAGGGTAAGATGCCCATGCAGTCGGGACTTCCAGCGGCGGCGAGTTTCTATGTGGCTTGTCCAACACTTCTTTTTTGCTGTCTGACAACCGCCAGTGCGGCCTACATAGACCCACGAAGCATCGCATCTTCGCAAGGCCCGGGTTCAGGTCCCTATATGATCTCAACGGTTCTCGATATGCACAAATCGATTGACTGTTGAGGGATCGGAAATTTGAAGTTGCGTCGTGCTTAGCATCGGCGTATTTACTGTCCATTCAAACGGTCTTGCCGATGGCGTTCAGGCGATGCAGAAACTTCGTGGCATGCTCCAGCTCGCTTTGTGCATGAGGCAGGCTATTCATTCTTATGCGCTGGTAGCCTCTCGAAGTCATGGCTAGCGATGGTATATGGAGCAGACGGCCTCCCGGCAGGGTTCCCAGAAGGCTTCTGGTCACCCAGGCGCTAGATTCGGTATGTTCGTAGAGGTGCGCCGTTATTATACGTCAAAATTGGAACGGCGGTGACTAACGACATTCCCAAATATGCTTTCATCTCACACCACCGCAGCTTCACCCAAGCTTCGCAGACACTCTTCGGACCCCGCTGGTGCAGGGCGCGAGCTTAGAGCAGCGTGCCCCGCTTCTCCCGCGTAACCCAGGTGGGCAACGCACTGCGGCCAGCCGCCATCGAGTACGTACGCGACCGCAAGTGCCTTGATGGGTGTTCGTTCTCGTCAAATGTACGTACTTGCAGCTCGCCGTGGCATCCGTGACTGACAGCGGAGAACGCACAGGAAGCTCAAGTCCGCTTCCGTCTCCGTGCTGCTGCTGGGCACCATCGGGCGGACCTATCCCCTCTCCCCTAACCCACCGAGCGACATCCATTCTCCGGCCGGCGTTCAAACTATCCCAGCCCTAGCTGAGAAGTGGAATACCGGACTCAGGCTCGCACATCAGAGCAGGCACTCCCCTGCATCCTATCGCGGCACCATCGCCTTTCTTCTTGCTGGGAAGTTATCTGATTGATCTCTCATTACCATTGGTGTGCGTGCGGACGTTGCGGCTCCGAGAGGGGCTGCGCCAATTGCAGCAACTGAATCTCCGTGCCATTGGGCTGAGGCGCCCGGCGGCCGCGCTCGCACACTAACCGTTTAGGGGCCAACTTTGTGCAGCGCGTTCTTGGGTTCGGTGCTACAAAGATTCAGCAAGAACGGCGGTGCGCCTCAGGTTGGAGGCACAGCGATGTACCGAATCTTAGGCGCTTTGCTGGGCAGGTACGTCCAGCCGTCACTAGTACTGCTACGGGCGCTCTACCTGTAGCGTCCCAGGTATCGAGTCTCCGGCGTGCAAAAACAGCACCGTGCTGACATAGCGGGGTCAGACGACTGGACCACACTTGCCCCTTGGAGCCGTCCCAGCCGTCTAGATTGACGTGCGCCCAGCCTGCCGAGCCCTTGCTCTTCTGGTGCCTACCCAAATATGCGCTGCCACTTGTGGCGTGCCAACTCCGTCAGGACCGCAAGCCTTCCTAGAACATACATTCAGGAGTCGCGCCGTGTCCGCTGCCGCACGGTATATACCTGTGATGTGACTACCCCTCATCGTCCTGTCATGCCAAAGCAACGGCGGGGGCGACACATCCAACATCATGTCTACGAGTACACCCGCGACTTGTGGCACTCGGGAGGCCCGCAGCGTCGTGCCCCTGCTGCCCTCAAACATCATAGCCGAAGAAAACCCGTGGCTACGAAACGCCCGCACCACTCCAGGCGCTGTAACCCATCCTGCAGGAGAGGCTGCGTCTTCGCTGACGTATGGGACCCTGAGGCCTGAGGCAGCCTGCTTTCTTCATCTCCGCGCCTCGCGGAGACACAGAGGACGCGCCAGCCTCAACGCGTGCCAATACGTGGGCCATCCGTCAACATAGCACATGTCTAGGCCCCAGAGTGGGACTGGACCCCGGACAAACCAATAGGCAATATTGATGGTGGCGGACACTGTTGCGTTAAGCTCAGTCTGACAAAAGCCTT